GGGACTGTACCTAATCCTTTCAGGGGTAGTAGCTCTTTTTGCCCGTCCTCTCTGTGCAAGCTTTTCTGCCCAACTCCCAGATGTGCTCCCCCCACCCCCATTATCTCTTTGCCTTCCTCTGACCGTGCCGTCCCCTCCTCTCCACGGGAGTGTTTGTCCAGGATCTGCTGTGAATGCTTTCCTCCTCAGCAGTCTAAATGTTTGCGAACACTCTGCTGTATCACAGCAGCGACTGTGAGGTGATGCTCACAGACCAACCGTGGTCCATTTTTAGCTCATTATATATAGGATAAAGGGACGTGCTTCTCTTTGTACCTGGTCTTGAGTGGTGGGGCTTGGGAGGATTTCTCTCTTTCTTCTTTTGGAAAGAGATCTTATTACCAATAGAAGTACAGATTCTGAGGCAGAGCAGCTGTCAAGCCTCCTTAGCCAAGACACACGGTTTCCTTGCTCAATATTCCTCAGTGCTTTGTCCAGCTCTATTTTGAACAAGCCAGACAATGCAGAATGCCTGTTGCTTCCTCTTGGGAACCATTTCCGCCGCCTAACAGACTGTGACACTAAAACTGTTCTCTTTCTTTTTGTTCTGCATTGCATACCTGTTCGTACCGGGAGCCGAAACAATGGGACTTTGAAAAGGGTGGGTGGGCAGGTGAATATGGAGCATTAAACCATCAGAGATAGTGTGAATGGAAGGGGTCTGTGCAGAGCCGCTTTTCAAGAATGCAAGGAATTCCGGGAGCTGCAGGCAAATGGCATGTCCTGCTGAAGTACTGGGGAAGGCAACAGGCATTTGTAGTGGGCATCGGGAAAAGGGCTGTTGATTTGTTCTCAGAGGCCAGCTCCCCAAAGCTAGAGGGGGCAGGGCACAGTGTTGTCCTTCTTGTGGGTCTGTAATGCCACGGATGCCATGGTTTGTGATGCCATGATGCCTTCTTGTGGGTTTGTGATGCTCAGTCCCCTTCAAGCGCAACCTGATAACCCTATCAGAGCCCAGCAATGTGGGCCAGCCATCAAGGGGCAGAAATAGGAATGTGAAGGTCCAGCAAAATGAGAAAAATGTTGGGAACGTTCCATCTGTGTGTATGTGTACACAGGGGAGGGCTTCATGCCATCCTTTCCACTGTGAATTTGGGGCATTTTAGGGAACTTTGCTGGGGGGACTGTTGTCTCTGCAAACTGGAGACATGGCAAGAGCAGCTCAGTGTAAGATGAGGCAAAGCTGTGCTCCGTGGGCAAAGCATTCAGACTGTGTGTGCAGCTGATGGGGGGGCTGAGCCGGTGGTGAGTGACAAGAATGGGGGTCTTGGTGGTAGGGTGGTTCGCTCGGCGACTCCATTGCTTCAGGGCGTGGCCGCTGTGAGAAAGGCCACGTCTATCTGGACTCTTTCAGAAAGGAATCAAAAGCAGGCACCGTCACAAAGCAGAGAGGCCTTCCAGTCAGGGCCGTCTCAACAGCATGATGGGCCCCGGGCAAAGCCGTGCACTGGGGCCCCTACGGCAACTGCAACTACTGTCAATTTTGGATGTTTTCCAATTTTCCAAGGGTTAACAGACACAGATTAGTATGGGGCCCACGGGCAAGTGCCCATCAGGCCCATGCGTTCAGGCGGCCCTGCTTCAAGCGTCGTTACAGAAAGGGGTGACCACTCCTAGAACTTGGTGTGCTGGTCTAAGCACCACAAACAGGATGTTGAGCAGCTGGAAAGGAGCAACGCAAATAACTGAGGGCAGCAGCAGCCCCTGCCATGAGAGAGCTTACACTGCTTGGGACAAAGCTTAGTAAATGAGGTGAGTAGGGGAGAGAGGAGGAAGGTGGGCACAGATAATGCATGGGGTGGACGAAGTGGGCAGGGAGACAGTTTTCCTCCTCTCCAGCCCAGCTCTGTAGCTCTGGGGCAAGTGGGTGCGCCATCAGCCCCAAGCTGTGCTCCCACTGGGATTTCTCTCTTGTCGCCTCCTCCTCTCCCTCCTTTGTATTTTTTGGAGAACAGTATTTGTAATTTCTGGCATGACAGGCAATGTCAGCCTCCATTTAAAGGATGACAAGAGCAGGATGGTAGGCATGTCATGAGTGGAGCCGGCTGGAGCCGGGGGTCAGACTAGATAGCCCAGGAAGACCCCTTCTGACTCACTCTGTTTCTATGTTTCTAAATATAGGACCCTCTGAAAAATTCATTGAAGTTCAGAACAAAATCTTCCTATAGGAGAGTCCCCAGATGCCCGAGGGGTAGATTCCCCATGGTCACAAGCACTCTACAATTACATGGGGTGATCCTGGAGGAAACAGGCCGCATGTTTAAAAGATCTTGGAGGATTGGACTTCTCTTTGCTCGGCTTTTCAGTGCCAGCTGTAATTTCAGTTGTGTTTTCTACCCAGCTAGCAATAAAGGCGCAGTCTTGCTTGCCTACAGTAAGATGGAAGAGTTTGTTTGTTCTGCAGCTGTTCAATGAGCAGGACTGGTTATTGCTTATTTCCAAAGGCTGACATCATTGATAATTTACAGTCATTGGAAAAAAATAAATCCTAAATTACCCTTTACTCTTTCAAAGCACTCATTATACTCATAATCATAGTGGCGATTTCTCTGCTTTTCCTTGCACATTGGATGGCAAAGGAAGAAACAGCTGTGGAGGGATAGGAACAAGCCATGCGTGCTGCAGTGAGCTGGCCAGCCAGCCACCTAGGCTGTAACTCAAGCTTTATTTCTGATTTTCCCAATATGTGCATCTTAGCATGAGACCCCTCCAGGGTTTCTGGGCAGAAAAATCAATCCGGCAACCAGTGAAAAGAAATCCAATTGCTTTCCACAATTAGTTTCCAATTGCTTAGTTAGTCCTTATATAGTAACCAGTTAAGAAGTTTTCCTTTGATTGTTCAACAGGAACGAACACCAAACCTCAGGAACAAGACTAGGAAGAGGGACCGTTGAGTTGGGGGTGGGCGCTTTGCACCTCCCCTCCAAGAAATGTCTCCCTGGGAAACATGGCTGCCCCCCCTAATGAGGAAGGCTGGCCATGGGCTTTCCCCATCCCACAATACTAGAATCCAGGCTCTTACATTAAAGTTGGATTCATTCTGTTGCAAAGCCTCTGCCCATATTGGGAAAAGATGGAAGCCCTCTTGAAATGCTTGTTTGTTGAAATGTCTCAGCTGCACCTGGTCTCCTGTACACACCCTGTAGCCGTCATATTTTATACACTGTTTTTCTTGTTTTCCTTTGTGTGAATAAGAAAGCCCAAGCTACTTCCAGGTGCACCGGTGTTTAATAAAGAAAATGTTCTAAAAAGCAAAGCAACAAGCAACAGCTACATCGGCACGCTCCCGTTTTAATCCCACCTCCCCAACATGGGATTTATCTGGCTTGCCATTTACATATCTGTGCAGTAAATATTTTAGAACGCTAATTATACACTAATAAGAAAACACCTTTCGAACTTTCAGTCAAATCGACACACGTAACCCGGGTCCGTCAGGGAATTAAAAAGCAATTAGTTTTTGTAGCAGAGTGCGGTCTCATTGTTTCTTCAGTGCAAATGGCTCTGTGGTCACCAGCCAAGCATCTTCTGCCAAATGTTTATGGAATGAGGGCCTAGAGATGGTGAAGGCCTTTAAGCACACCCACACATGGACACATGCACACATGGAAGGACAGGCACCCTCTGCACACGTGCACAGGATGTGAAGATAGAGTGTGAAGGGGACGGCAACAGTGCAAAGCACCCTGGGCTCCTTGGAGGAGGGTTAAGGACTACCTCCTGGAGTCCTTAATGAATCCCTGGCTCACAATTCCTGCCCCACTGGGTAGCCTTCCAAAGCAGTAGCTAAGGCAGTTGTCGGGAAAGGTGAGCAATCCAAGGCGGCTGACATAAACCCCCTTCTCCATCCTTTCTGAATTTCTTGTTCATCTCTATACTGCCGACTGGCTGAAGGCATCTGGGAGGTTTGCAGCAGTTCCTAAAATTGCGAACAACGAATGCAAATAATAAAACAGGATAGCAAACTGCAAACAACAAATGCAAATCACGAACAACAAATGCAAATAATAAAATTGTGCAAGTTTCAGGGTGCAGAATTTAAAACTATTTACATGGTGAAAAACCATTTCAGTAAAAATGCTGGACACACTGCCTACCAGACAGGGAGTGCCTATACCAGGGATGCAGGACCTCAGCACCAGGGCTGGATCTGGCCTGAGTGCGGGCTCACTCTCCCCACATCCCCTTGGGTTCCTCAGAAGGCCGGGCTTTGTTCGCTCTGCCTCCAGTGGCCTGGTGGCTTCTCAGTGTCTGCGGTTTTCCTCCACAAGAGCTTTAAGCTAAAATTGGGTTTGGCTCTTGGGGGACATTTTGGCCCTGCATCCTTCCTCTTTGGCCTTGCTCACCAGTGCAATTGGCCCTCGGGCTGAAAGAAGTGCAGCAGCCTTGGATTAAGGAGTATTTTTGGTGGGCTGGGGTGATTGGTCTCAGAATACATACCCAGGCTTAGACCCTCCCTGGTCACCGGGACCAAAGGAAAAGGGACAGGGCCATAAATACCTGCATGCCAGCAACACCAGCCTCATTTAGCTCAACGCTCTAAGAGGCCTTCTGAGCTTTGACATGGAGCAAAAACACAAAAAGGCTGGTGGTCTCATGACCCCCTGGGAAACCCCCAAGGGCTGGATTTGGGAGATCAGGCAGGCTGGATCTGGCCCATGGGTGATGGGTCAACACCCTGGAATACAGGAATTCCTTGCCACGAGAAAGTTCTGCAGGTTGACTTACTCACCCCCACCTGTACAAGTCAGCCCTTTTTCAGCTCCTGGCTTTTTGGAGAGGAAGTCTCCCCAGGCCATGTGGGGAGGGCGGTGCATGCCCCGCAGGGGTACTGGGGGTGGTAAGGCAGCCTCGCTCCAAGTTGCGGCTGATCCTCTGTCTTCATCCCAGCTTTGCTGGCTGTTCCAAATTGCTGATGAGTCACGTATGTAACTATCTCTATTTTCTTCCTTTCCTTTCAGACTGAAAACTACTCATTTGATTCCAACTATGTGAACAGCAGGGCTCATTTAATAAAAAGGTACGTGGGGGGACTGTGTGAAGGGCGGGGGAAAGTTGAACGCTCCACTTTTAAACAAATTCATATTGTTTAACTTTTCCCATCCTTCTATTATATTCTACCTCGTTATTGTATTGTATGTGAAATCTCTCCATTCTATTTGGGGAGAGGGAGAGAGAGAGAGAGAGAAACAAATGGCATTTGCATCTTATTAAAATCCCACTAAATGTTAGCTTTTAGGGGGGTTTTTAATGCTCCCCCCTCCCATGAATGTGCCTCATTCATGCAGGGAAGGAGTCTGGAGTAAAGACGAGCCCTGTTACCCTGACAACTTAAAAATGCATAGAGTTTATTCTGTTTCATTGCACAAGAATAAAATGATAGATGTGGATGAAGAACTGAGTTCCCTGCCATGTAAAGAGAAAAAAAGAGCTCATACAGGGGTAGGTGATGGGCCTGGATACTTTTTCCTGCTTCCTGCTATTTAAAAAAATAGTTCGAGTGACAAAAAAATAAAAAAAAACGTGTTGCAGTTTTTTCCCATCCACTGTCCTCTCTCCTCACCCTTGTTATTAAAATAGATCTGTCTGTGGCCCAATTTCATTCATGCATAAATTAGGAAATGAATTTGGTCTCCAGAGAATGTGTTGATATTAATTACTACATTTTAGTAACACTTTGTAGTGGACAAAAATGTGTTCTAAATTTTGTTGTTTTCAGCCTTGGTCCAACCTTGAGGCATAGGCCAGAAGTACAAGAGCCAGGAATCAAACCAGTAAATATGTGGGCTTGGTCCTGATTCTTTAGTGGCCCATATGTCTTGTGATGATGGAGGGTCTTGGGATTTCTAAAAGCAGAGGTGGGGGGACTCCCAACTCCTATCAGCCCCATTCAACATGGTCAGTGGTCAGGGATGACATGAACTCCAGTTCAGAAACATCTGGAAATGCCATGCGTACTTTCACCCTTGAGTTAAGACACAAACCGATGTGTGTATAGACAGAATAAAGGCTTACAACTCACAGCAAGGTCCAAGGTGTGGTAGCCCAATTTTGTGTCTAAGCATGCATAGGATTGCCACCTTTAGGGATGACCAAATTAATGTTAGAGTGAAGGAAACAGACAACATTCATCACACCAGCCTGTTTTTAAAGGCCTGAAAATACCACATTTTTCTCTCGACCTGAAAGGGGCTGTTTTATGCAGGTGAGTAATTTAATGACTTGTGTGGTAAAATAGCATCACACTCATGCAACAATCTTGTCACACTTTAGAAGTTCTTTCCTTCCAGTCCTTTTTAATGCTGCATGAACTCCGATTTTCTTAAATACATCAAAGTTTTAATTATAATCCGGGCTAACTGGAAGCACTTTCCTTTTAATTTATCAAAATATTTTTACACTGATTTGTTCTAACTGATGAATCAGATAAACCCTGTAGCCTTAATTACAATTCCCATTCCATATACTTAATTGTTGGTGGCAGGCGTGGGGGCGCTCACTCAGCGTTGGGGTCCTGTTCTGAGCTTTGTGCTTGTGTTAGCTTGCCTCAATCAGTGCTCCCAGGAGGACGTAACTCCTGGCACACATGGCCCTTGGATTTTGTTCCAGGCTTTGGAAGATCTGACCATATCCTTGCCTAAAAAAGCCTGCTTTTGTTAGAGGGGGAAAAGGTGTATGGCTCTTGCAAAATGCTTTTTTCGAGGCCGTGAGGGGAAGATGCTTGACTGCACCATGCATAAGATTTATCCACGATCATGTAACTGCTGGTAGAGAAAATTGTTACTGGTGATGGTTACTCTTTGCTAATCTATGTGCCCTTTCAAAGCTGAAACCTCTCTGTGTCTGCTATTCTGCCCAAAGTGCAACTCTTCAACTTAAGAGGGAAGCATCCTCTGCCCAGGGCTGCCTCTGAAAAGTGTGTGGAAACTTCAGCTGGTCCAGAACACTTTGGGGTCAGTTTCAGGGAGCACGTGATTCCCCTGTGGGCACGATTCTTAGTGTTTGTTATGACCTATAATGTCCAGTATGGTTTGGGACCAAGTTGTTTGAAAGGCTGTATTGATTTAAAGTGCCTATTGATTCATTATTTTAGCTATTCCATGCCTATACCACTCATGAGCTGAGTTTGCAGGACGAAGGTTAAATTGTAAAATATAATAGTACAGTAAAGCATAACACAGTACAGGGGATTTAAAACAGAACAGAACAAAAAGAGAATAGTAGAAATTAAGGCAAAAGAAAAGAAAGAAAGTGGTGGAAAGATCTAGAAATGGACAGTCTTTTCAAAACTGAAGAGCCAGAAGCTTTGGAATTTTTTTTTTAAGCCCCTCACCTGGCTCTGAAAAGCCATTCCACAATTGGCACGACACCGCTGAAAAGACCTGCTGTAGGTCGTCCCCCGACTCACTGTTTTTGGTGGAGGGACCTTCTAATAGTTCAGTCTGGAGGGGTGTGCAAAGATCCTTAAGGGCACGATCCTATACATGCTGAGACAGAACATGTCCGCCAGCCCCCGACAGTTCTCAGAAGCGCTGCTGGCTGCGGCAGACTAGGGGCGGCAGGCTTTTCTCCCACTGCACATGCCCGAGTTGTGCTATAAACACCAACTGCGCTGCAAATAAAAAATAAGGACAATATGAGGAAGGGAGGAGGGACCCAAAGAGGAGAGCAAAAGGAGTGTGCATGGCATTGGAAAATGAAAACAGCAGGAACTAATAATAATAGCAATGAAATGGAAATAAAAATACACAATAGAGCAGGGAGTCTGTTGGGGCATGGTCCTCTGGGGATGCCTCTGAACATGGAGTGGAGGATGGAAGGAATGGAGAGGCTGAGTGGTGTTTTGGGATGGGAGGGCAGGAGGCAGAGGCATGGCTAGGTTACCTTGTAACTTGGCAGGGCTGATCTTGTCCCCTTCCTGCCCTTTTCTGGGATCTCCCTTGTGATTCCTAAGAAGCAGCTGCCACAGTGCTTTCTGCACCAGCTGTGATGGGAGAGAGGTGGTATTACTCTTCCTCCCACCTTTCCATACTTGGAAGTAGGTATGTCGAGCTATATATAGCTTTTGAACACAATTGAACAAGACAGCAGGACCATGGACGTACAAAGTAACTGGATGTCAGGGCTAAAGCCAGTAGGATGATATCATTATGTGTTAATCCAGCACTAGTGCAAAAGCACAAATATATTGTTTCATTTGATATTTAAGTCATTCACTGGATTCAGACAACATGATCAAGCATACTCAGGAGTTGAGTATGGGCTGAGTAGGGGTTATCATTTGAAATGCAGGTGACCATATTGTCTGAACACAGCTGAAATGGCAAACCCTGGTGAACAATCTCCAGGACTTATGTTTCAACAGCAAACCATGATTCAATAACAACCCACACTCAACACATACTCAAACCATAACTATGGGTTATTGAACCCAGTCAGTTATTCTCTGAGAACAGTTACCTTATAGTTAAAGCATTATTGCTGTTATCGTGAGCTGCTCACATTGATGGAGCTGGTAGGCTTGGTGTGTGCATTGCTGTCTCTGACCGTACAAGAAATAAGGTTGTCCTGGAAGTCTAGTGATGGCTGTGATGGATATTTAGAGCTCCATTGTCTCTCTTTTTCTGAAGAAGAATCCATGCCACAATGTTTTCCAGAGTGTTTTATCCAGAATGACACTAGAGTTGAGCTTGGTGGAATCTAAGATGTCTCAGACCTCTGCCTCTTCTTGGTGCCTGCAGATGTGTGGGCCGGTGCCCAAGGAGCCACACACTTAGTGGAGGGTTGGTACTTCCATGGTAGAGCATATGCTTTGCATATGTAAGCTCAGACTTGATCCCAAGTAGCTTCAGGGTGTTCAAGATTGCAGATGGCAGGGATGGGGAAGTGAATTTAATCTACCCTGTAGAGGCTGCTGTCAATCAAAGTATTTAGCCAGATGGTTTGGTATGCCTGGCTCCATAAGAGGTGGTTCCATAGGCTTTGCATGCTGATAACAAATTTAGACACTGGTATCATTGATGATGAGGATCATAGGTAACTTGGCCGAGTAGGACCTGCCTGCAGAGCCATGGCAAAGCAGGGAGGATAAAGTTGGATCAAGAGCTCAATGCTTGGCATAGTTGGACATCTGCCATGTGCCCAACCTCAGCCAGGGGCCCAGGAACAAGAGCCCCTTGGACTTGTTCCTCCACCACTGCAATGTGGTCGCTTGCCCGCCTCTCATTCTGGCTGGGACAGTGGTGGTGGCGGTGGAGCCCCAGGAGCCCCAGGAGATGCCACGGCCTAGAAGCTCCCTGACTCTCAGCTTGTCAAGTAACATGTGGTGCCAAGGATGAGAAAGAGGATGAGGAGCCAGAGCAGCTGGGGACAATGAATGTGAGAAAGAAAACTCACTGAGGGAGGGGCCCATTGGCAGCATCCTTCCTAAAAGCATTCCAAAACCTGGAGCTGACACTGGAGGTTGACCAGTTTGGAAAAGTGTGATTTCTGCCATAACTTTGCACGGCAGAGCTTAACATCTGTATTCTTTAATTAATCTGTTTCGTCTTTCTGGATTGATTTCTCCCCCGCCATCTGCCGTGTACGCACGCTGGCTAAATCCCTGGTTTAAAGGCCTTCTGCAAAGATGCCTTTATTTTAAAAGGCCGTGTTTGAAGGTGTTTCAGTCCTAATGTGTGTGACTCCCGCCTTCTCTTACACGCTGTTTATGGGTTCAGCAGGACATCCCATGGTAGGTGGTCCACTTGGTTTCCATGGAAACCTGGAAAGGGTTTTTGCAAAGGGATGTATATGCGTGAATCCCCGTGGCTTCAACATGTGAGCCATTTCCAAGGCCGAGGTGCCGTGGAAGCGAATGGGCCACTCCTCAGGGAGAATAGCTGGTTGCTGCAGTGCAGTGTGATCGAGCTGGGAGAGGGGTTCCCATCCATGTTGGAGGATGAAGGTGGAGCCTGGGGAAAGTTCAGTCACAACCGTGCCAGCACAGGACACTCAAAGGGCCAGTTGGAACCTTGCCGGGACTCTCAGCTAGCTGAGAACTGTACCGATGCTTAGCCAGCCAGCGGTTGCGCTCTTTCATGGTGCTTACTGAGGTAGCGCATGTGCCCACCACCACCTCTGGCACTTCCTCAATTGCCCTGTGAAAGGGGGCGCTTGTTCCTATGAGCAAATGGCCGTATGTTACATTTATTCACCAGTAATAAGCCTTTATAGACATGGATCATGGGCCAGTGTATCTCATATGCCCTGTAAGTGCTTCCAATAGCAGAGGGAACTCTGAAGCTATAAAAGTGGCATGGCCAAGCTCGGGTCCTCATGAGTGCAGCAGCTCCGAGTGCCGCTCAGCTCTCGCCGTTCAGCCATAGCAGGCAGGTCCTGTGGGCACATGCAGCCAAGAATGACAAAGAGGCATTGTCAGCATCCACTGTTTGTTCTAGAGTGAACATAAGCTAATCTGGCAAGCCCACCGCAAAACATTTTTCTTACCGATTTGTGAATGTGGGTTTCCTCATAGAGCCAATTTAGCATGAGAAAATGGACTGAGACAGAATTGACGTGATATTATGTGCCCCGCACTCTGGTATTGAACAAATTTGCATGATCTGCTCAACCTGCCACAGCTTATTTAAGCAATGTGGATTCTAGAGTATGCTGGAAACCATTTTCAATACTGAACCACCAGTGGAAGGTTGCCATAGTTTATTGTGTCATGTGGACCCAGGCATTAGGGGTTGTTCAAGGGGGAATTGACTCTCAACTGGCCATGGGTTATCTGAGGGTTGTTTCTCCCTCAGACAAACCATGCTGCCCAACTTGGGATACTGTAACAAACCACGGTTAACTCTCCTTCTGGGGGCTGAATATTCAGAATGGCTTCAGGTGGGTCCCACAACCCACTTTGGTATAAAAAAATTGATGGCAGGCTCTGGTGATTATGTGAACCTGGACTATGTCTTTCATGTTAGAGTTTGGTGTGAAGTGGGGGTGAGAAAGAGAGCTCCTGAGCAAGACAAAATGGCTAAATCCCTCTATTTTCCTTGAGACTGGATCTTTATTTATTAAAGAACATTATGCAAGCAAGAGCAGGCATATAATAGGGTTTATTAGACTGTTCTACTTAGGACGGCCACTTAGGAATCGCCGAAAAAGAGGAAATGCACTATCACAAGAGTTAGGACCAAAGAAGACTTGTTTTCGTATGCTAATTGATATGTAAGGTTGTGGATTTAGAAATAATTGCTGTGATTTAAATAGCAATGCATGCCATCTCACCAGAGTGTGGGGAGCCAGAGGACCTATGTGCCTGCCCATTCCACTTGCTGCATAGATGCCAAGTCTGGATGGACAACAGTTCTCGTGATTCATTATCCTTAAAGCTGAATTTTAAAGGTAATGGATAGAGGACCCTTTCAAACAAAGCAGGGTTATCTGGCAGCCCTTCAAACTGAGGATCATCCTCTGTGAGAGGGGAACTTGGCCAGCCTTTCGCAGCTTCTTGTTTCACTGTGCAGCATGCTAAATTTCCTTTAGAAGTTTGTCTTGGAGGTACGCAGCGTGGAGAGAAGCACCCTGCAAGACTGGCACACCAGGGATTGGAAGCACTAGAAAAGCACATCCTGTCTTATTGGAACTGCTTGGATATGCCCTGTCTTCCATTCTTTGTCATTTGGAAGGCATTTCCTTTCCGTGTTGGAGGGTGAACAAGATGCTTTGGGCTTGTGCTTAACCTGAGTCAGCAAGAGCTCTGTGAGCAGTTTGGAACGATGCTCCTTGCCTTGCGCTTACCTGTGTTGTCTGTGTGAGCTGATCTGCATTAGGAGGAGACGGTGTGCAAGAAAACCTGGTCTTGGAGAAGTGTATCGAATTGAATTGCCACCTCCCTATTTGAGTCTCGTGGTTCTCTTGGTCCTGTGGTTTCCAAGGGGGTCCCTCTCCTGGTCCCCACCAGCCCCCTCTTGATTTTATTCTATTTTGAAAACTTTACATATTTTTAAATTGGGAAATGGATAAGGGACAAAGCAAGGCACATGCCTCCAGTGCCATCTTTATTTCTAAGATGTAAATCCCTGGAAACATTCTTAGGAAATAAAAGTGTCTCTTGTGTGTGTGTTTGTGAATATCCGCTCATCATCCCCAGTTGTCTTACTGTAAACTTTCATTTTGTTGTGTTTTGTGGGGGCAAATACATGATCCAGAATTTGGGGATCAGACCCCCCCCATCTTCCTGGTACACAGTTCCCCGGCCGTCTGTGAAATGGGTCTAGGAGTGGCCCCGGGTGAGTTTCGGTGTGGCGTCCCATTTTGGAGACCAGCCCTCACCTCTGCTGTCCTTGGCTGCTGGGCTGGCTCCCTCATTTGGCTAGCATTCTCTGGCACTGGGTAGGCCAAACCCCTCGTCTGCCCCTTTCTCAGGCTGCTTGCTCCAAATCCATAGCCCACTCAAGAGCCCCTGCATCCCCTGCTGTTGTGGAGTGTCACCTCTCACAGGGTGCACACATTTCTGAATATTGCATCCGTTACGTGGGTTCCTCTCTGGGCTGCCATGTCTTGTTAGGTGTTCCCTGCACACTTAGCAATTGAGCCTGGGAGTCCTGCACTTCAGTGAACCCAGCGGAGTTCGGCTGCATGTTGCCTGCAATCAGGGGAGACCTTTGTTTCTGCGCCACTGTGGAAGTGCAGAGCTGAACATGTCATGTCGCGCTGAAGACCGCCGTCGTATTTTGTCTCTTCTGATTAATCTCCTATTGCTGAGAAGGTGTCCCTGTGCCTCCCCATGCATCCGCCCTGATCTTGCCTGTAGCGACGCTTTGACTGGGATCTCCTCCAGCCCTTTCCTGGTCTTCGCTTTGTTCCACGAGCAACAGTGTTGCTTCTGCTTGTAGGATACCAGCAAGTATCTCTTGCAATTTTCTGCACGCCCTGGGCCTGTCTGGCACTCTGGCCACCGTGCTGCGTGCCAGGCATTAAGCTCTGTGAGTGTCATGGTTGCTCAACTGTGTTGGGAACCCTCTTGAGACAACCTCTTTCCTTCCCCTTGGAAAAGCCCTGTTGAGGATTGTTCCTGCGGCTGATGACATGCTCCAGGCCAAAGGAGGGGTGCAGGCTTTGTGGGCACAGCTCTGCACAGTAAATCACTCTTCTCTCTTTCACCCAGCAGTTCGACATTCAAAGATCTGGAGGGGAACAGCCTGAAGGACAGTGGGCATGAAGAGAGTGACCAAACAGACAGTGAGCATGACGTCCAGCGTGGCCTGTACTGTGACACTGCCGTCAATGACGTTTTGAACACCAGTGTCACCTCCATGGGGTCTCAGGTTCCTGAACAAGGTAAGTTGTGCCAGTTTTACAGATGCCACTTGCAGAGTGCAGAGGCTCAGGGCAGGTCACCCGATGTCGCTTGTGAGCTATTACATCTCCACGTCATAAGGGGATCCCGCTGACTGTCCAGCCATGGAATGTCTGTGAACATTCTAACTGCTCATGGGAAAAAGTGTCAGCAACCGGATATTGACAAAATTATATCATTGTCGGGAAAGAAGTGGTGTGGCCTGTGGAAACGCGCATGCTGGGCCCATGGACAGTGGAGGCTGTTGGCAAGAATACTGGGGAACAAGGATGAGAAATGAAGCAGGGATGGGAGGAGGGCACGTGCTCTGCAGTAGTTGCTGGATTGTCGCTTCCATCAACCTTTTCCATCGGCTATGCTGGTTTGGGACACGCACCCTCCCGCCTCGACCTGGGGAGATGTGGGATCTGTCCTAGCAGCCAAGGGAACCAGTGAACCAAAAAGGAAGGGAGAAAAAGTTGGGAAATGGACAGCTCTTCAATATCACGTTAATCCTTTGACCCAGCCAACCAAAGCCATATTTGGCTGCAGATTCCACCCCTGTGCTTGGACCATCTATCTCGAGAGCATCCTGCAGTGAAATGACTGGTGCAGCCTCTGTCATAGGAAACTTTTTGTTCCAGAAAATTTGGGATCCAGGGCCTTGCTGCTGCATTTAGCGATGAACATTTATGGATAGTATAACCTATTTTGAAAAGCTCACTCCCTTTTGACAAACATGGTGGAGGTGGCTTCTATGTGTAGCCATGCTGAGAAAAGTGGAGAGCTCCCAGGAATCCATTCTTGTTTCTCAAAGGTGAAGGCTCTCTGTCTCATCTCAAATGTGTGGAGGTTACCCAACAACGAGGGAAATACACTAAGTACATGCTCAGATGCACGTTTCTATGTCAGGTGTGGATCTGTGGCAAAAATTCCTGCAATTTATTTGTCCTCCAGGGCAACTTCATCCATCCTTTTTGGAGCCAGGGCTTGCCCTAGGCCCTGGCTGTGGTCAAGCCCTCACAAACCTGCGAGCGCAGTCACAGGCCTCAGATTCATCCAGGGAGGCACTTTGAGAAAGCCAGCATCATTTCTCATCCAGACAATGAAGCTTTGAAAGACTTGTCTGTGCTGCTTGATAAACAATGTTGGTTTGACCTGCTGCAAAATGCCTTTTTCTCATAAGGGAAGGTCCCATGCGATCAATTTTGCCTGTTGCAGAGTTGCTGAGCAGCTCAGCTGAGGGCCTTTTTGAAACTGGGTTTCTCCCTCGGTGCTTGCATGGTTAGATCTCACAGGATGAGATTCAGAAAAGACGGGGGAGTGACGGGAGGATTTGGGTTCAAGGAGAGCCTGCAGTGGACTGGTGTTTTGACGAGAGCCACATAATTGAATGCCTGTGTGTAAGACTGGAAAGCTAAACCTATGGACATGGCTTGCGTTCTTTAAGCATATCTTCGTTACTTGCTGGCTCAGCAACTGCCCCCTTTTCCTAGCAGAATCTCATTTACGGCTGTGAAGGGGGATCCATTGCATCTGTGTTTTGGTGTGCTTTCTGTGGGAGTACCGGCTGTGAGTCTCCTGTCTATTAAGAGTGAATGGAGGTGCTGAATTACTGGCTGTATTATTTAACTACTTAACGATATTTATGAATTGCTTGTATGGAAGGAAGAGTTTGCAGTTTTTTGATGTACAAAACGTTTAGGGTTTTTTTGATGCACAAACCAATGCAGTATAAGGCCACAATAAAATACTGTATATGATTGTTGTACCCTTGAAGACAAGATTATCTTTCCAGGAATGCTTGTTGGAAGAGGTACATTTTCAGTAGGCATAAAAACCTTGGAAAGGTTGGTGTTGGCATGATTTTAGTGATCGAGAGCTGCAGGAAGTTGGCACTAGGACACAAAAGGCACCATTCTGAGCCTCCATGGAATTGACTTTTGGTATTTTCAAGGCTACCAGGATGGTATCTCCTGAGAAGGACAATTATGAAGTTACCAAGAAACAGAAGGGAGATATTAATGTTCTTGGGACCTCTTGGTTTCTAGAGGATACAGATAATTTGTGTTTGGGGGATCAAGGGGCAGAAATAACCTAAGACAGTAGTATAATGAAGGAGCGTACTTGATGGCCACAGAATGCTGGGGGGATATGGGGACAAGACATCAGCTGGTGGGAGTAGGGGGGATGGAGTGTCCCAGAAAAGGTTGCGTATGTCTGGATCCCATAAGAGCTCACATATTATATTGCAGGTGGCACATTTGAAATGGAATTGCCATCTATCTGTCTGTCTATTTATAAAGCTTCTATCACACCTAGTTCCCTTGGAGGGAACTCAAGATGGTGAACAGACAAAATCAGTAAAATTTCAAACAATCCTTTTTTTTTTTTTGAAACAATAACAAATAAATAAACAAGAACAGTTTGTAAGAACAGCAGTTCACCATAAGGGCTATAAAAAGCAACCGCACCCAAGGATTATTAAAACTTTTAACCAAATGCCTTCTTATTAAAGAGTTCTGTTTTTACATACCGCCTAAACCAGTGGAGTGTTGGGCTCAAGGAGTATTTGTTGGCTCGGCATTCTGCAAGGTGGGTGCAGCCACAGTGGGTCTGGAAAAAGAAGTGTGAAGTTGTTCTATTTTCAGATTTTTTGGGAGCATGTTGGGTGTCTTGTGCACACCAGCTTTATATCTTCTCCAGAAGTATGTTAACAATTTTAATATCCCCACCAATTTGCAAACAAGGCCCACGTACCCCCTTCTCCCCCACTCCCTCCCTTCCTGGGTACAAACTCCAAACAACTTGGGGAATCTTTCAGGCTCTGTTCCAGTGGTGGATGGGACCAAAAGCAAACACAACTGCATATTACAGCCTAATGCTTGCAAAGCTTTAGAAGAGGCCTTTCAAACTTCCACAATAGGGGAAAAACTGTGCCCAAGCTAGGAAGACACCAAATAGTGGGTGACCAGGAGAAAGGGGGAGCAGTCTCCTGTGGAACTCTGGAGGGGTGTGGGACCCTGGGAGAACCACATTCGGTTCCTGGGCCTGAGGTTCTGCACCTGTTCTATACACACGTAATCCTTATAAAGAGGACACTAATCTTTATAGGTCCACATAATGTTTATTTTCGAGAGCCAGTGGCACATTTGCATGCACACGTGTGTGTGGAGACTCCCATCTCCCTCCATTGATTTCCTTTGATATTTTTTCTTTGGAATTAATTCCCAGGGATTTTTCAAATGTAACAAATATGAAACTAGGAGAAAATGCTGCTTCCCCATCTCTCCAAACAACGGGGGATGCTCCTAGATTGGGAAAAAAGCTATTTTTCAGACATTGATTTTTCTCCTTTTTATTAGAAAATCTTTAATAGCATTGAATATGAAAGGCAAAAAGATGGGTTATTCCATAAATGGGAGGCTTTTATGTTGCAAAATCTCAAACATTAGCCCCCACCGTGCGGCCTCTTGCAACAAGGAGGGAAACCACAGTTTGTGAGTGACTGTGAGAGAAAGACAGTGCCCTTTTCCTTCGGCCATCCTCCAAGCAAGAGCTTTTCAAAAGCTGTCCATCTTCATCTGCATTTCATTCCAGTCTTACCAGCAGGGTCTATTTCTGAGAGTAGAATTGGAGGACTATTCCTTGGTCCCTTGAGTTAAACTTTGGGGTTCCACAGGGTCCCACCCTGTCCTCCGTACAGTTTAAAGTGTGTATGAAGCCACTGGAAGTGGCCTTTAGGAGGTATGGAGCCATGTGCTTCAGTGCTCTACGCTCACACCACTATCTCCCTGTCATATCGAATCAGGTGAGGCCATGTAAGCCCTGGATCAGGGCCCAAACACAGTAATAGGCTGGATGAGTACCAATAACCTGAACTGCAACTGTGGCAAGATGGGGACGACTCACTCCTGCAGCACCCAAGTCCAGGAGCTAGGCTCTTTCCCCGTCCTGGCTGGGTTTGCACTCCTGTTGAAAGGGTGGGTTTGTGGCTTGGGGGACCTCCCAGCTCCACCCTTGACTCCATCTCAAGGGCCTCAAGGGATGGCCTGAGTGCCTTTGACCAGCTTATGGCCTGCCAGGGACAGGGATAGCTTGGCCCCCGTGGGACAGATGCCAGCAACCTTGAGAATGGATTGCTGCAATGTGCTCGGCGTAGCGCCGCCCTTCACGCTGGCCCAGAATCTGGTGCTTTCCTGGATCCGCAGGCCACTTCCTGGGGAACGGCCTGGCTGCTAGCAGGGCAGTTTGAAGGCTGGTTCTAGCATAAGGAGGCTGGAACAACTTGGGACCAGGTCGCTTGAGAGGGCCTTCTCCCATCTCGACCTGCCCAGTCACTGGCACCCATATGCATCACCCACCATGTCCAAATGTTATGCAGATCTCTGCTCTCTTTTATCTTCTTGGCATGACACGTTTCTTCTTCTTTTTTAATGATTCCAAAGTGGCATCTTATGCACAAGTCGCCTGGTCACAACCTTCACTTTTTGACTTATATTTTGTACTTGTATTCTGAGTTGTTGTTGTTGTTGATGATGATGATGATGATGACAACGACAGTTTCATTTCTGTACTTCCACATAGCCCAAGTTCTCTCAGTGGAGCTAAAGAGTGGTAGATATTTCTAAGTCTGTGTCTATACTTCTAAGTTAGCATACATATCGTAAGCTAATTTCCCTTTTTCGAGGGTGTTTGTGGGGTGACAAATTTCCTCCTTTTTGGTGATGCAACATTGGCCATTCTACTCACGTTCTGTACATTTCTTTCAGGCCCCCACTTGTGAAATGTGGCAGCTCCAGCCAGAAAGACAAGCTGGCTACAGCCCTGGGCCCACTGAAAATGCTTTCCCCCCCACCCAAAGTGGTGTGTGACATCTGTTCTTGGTATATTGAGTATAGTGGGTTCAGTTAACCCTGGGAAACCTTCTAAATGGGAGTCTGTGGTGGTCACTTCTCAATTCTCCACCACCAGCCATGCTTAATGGGAAAGCAATGACATC